TCTGGAAGTAGTCTGGTTCATAGGAGGCTGTGAAAAAGATGAAGTATTAATGAAGTAGAAAATAGTTAAAAAGGAGAGCTGTAATGATGTAATTTTGTGTAAGAGCAAACAGTAGATGATTGCTGAGTGAAGGAATGAAATGTGAAGGGTACGAGTGAGGTTGAATTTCTTGGAAGGTAGAAAAGGAAGTAATTTTTAATTGGACTTTAACAGCCTGAAAGGCAGCAAGGTGAATTGGACATGATATATTTGTAAGTGTTGTGACATTGATCTGTACTATTGTGAACTTGTCAAACGAAAAGTCTGGAAGTCCTGGGGACACAGTTCATCCTAGCTTGAGTAAAGAAATCCTTTTACATTTCTGTAGAATAAATGGAATTGGGATAGTGGTGTGCATGTGCTATATATTTTAGGTATTGATGGTTTAAATTGTGCAAGCAAGTATTTTAGGAGAAAGCATTATTTAATATTTTGGAATACATTGTGTAACACATGAATATTCAGTATAGCGCTTAGTTTGCTAACAATGGGCATGCACTTATCATGAATACCTTCAGAGCATTTATGAAATAAATTATGTAAGACTTTAACATCCCATTTTATATTAATTACTAAGGTAAGATTAATCTAAGAGACTATAATTGATAGTAACAATTTAACTTAATCCTTTTATTAGCTGGTACATAGAGAAAAACATAGCTGATTACTTCTAATTTAATGATGTTTGGTGCTTTACTATAGTGAGACTAACTCTAAATGGTTGAGGTTTTTTATTTGGCATAGCTATTGGGCATTCTGCATTTAATTAAAAGAGATAATTCTGACTCTATTTGTAGCTCCTTTATATTCCATTTAAATGTTGGAATATTTAGGAATAGATGATTTTCATCATCTATTTCTGTGTCCTATGAAATCATTCCACCATTATGTCAAAAGTGTGTTTTAGCTGTCTTTAGAGGACTTCAGACAATAATCCACTTTCTCTCGTGATTCAGCTGTATGTTAAGTTTAGCTGACATTCATGCTAGAGACAAAACAAAAAAGAAGTTATAAATATTAACAGCACAAAGTAAAATTTCATACAAAAAAATAAGAATGTATGACAAGATTCTGCCATCAAAAATTATTCCTAACAGCCATCTCAAGGAATCTGACTTGTTCTCACATGCTAAATGACAAAACTGCAAACTCTTTGACCTGTAAAGTCTAGTATATGAATGCTGAAAAGCGTTCTTTATGGAATCTAGGTCTGGACTAGAAGAAATGTGTTTAGATGAAGACACCAGCACTGAATTTGATGTACTTTTGTGATTCACAAAGCATTATGGCTATTTGGAGCACAGTGTGAAATTGTCATCAACATGGATAACGAACAATAGCTACGTAAGGGTGAGGCAGATGGGGTTGTTTTCCACTTATCTAAACTGTAACGTTAAAAATAACATCAGCTATTTTTGGATCAGGAATAGGCCATCTGCCCAAATTGTGTGCCCTTCCAGCTTTATCTAACTCCCATATTATTATTTTCATCTGAATGTTGTTGCATTATTTCCGCTTTGTTTCCTTGCGAGAGGCTTTGTATCATTACCTGATCAGCTTCACAACTAGGTTTTTCTCTAAGAATGCCAGGTCTTTCTTTAGTAATTGTATTTCTCTATTCAAATATTTTGCCTCCGATATTATATTTCATTGATATTTTTTTTAATAAGTCAGACAACATCTGTCCTTACTGGAAGTGCTGGGAATGATGTGTCAGTCTGGCAACAATAGTAGCAGGAAATAATAAAAGAACCCACGGGGATTATGGAAGGGAACAGAGAATTTGCATCAAGGCAAAGGAAAGGGCTTTGGGGAAAAGGGTCTAAAAGTAATTGAAGCTGAGAGACAGAAAGATAAGCAAATGAGAGATATTTGTAAAAAGCATTTGTTTGCTGAAAGAGGAATTTAATTTCTTGTTTTCAGCTTTGTCTGAAGGAAGGAATGACTTAATAAAAGATTTGGTTGCTTTGAAGGTACTTCAATGTATCTGGAGCTTTATATCTCTCTGAGAATATTGTAGTTGAGTAGGTAAATGTACAACACATTTATTTAAAGTTTTTCTTGATTGTTCAAAGTCTTTTAAACATGATGTCTAGTTGGCTTAACCTTCTATCTTTTTTGGCCACCCCAGCTGTAAAAATGAAATACTACTTAGTGTAACCAGAAAAACAACATAACCATAGTCAGTCTCACACCATAGGGTCCGTTTTCATTATTCATTACTAGCTTTACTGTTTGCCTATGCTATTTACAAAGGTTACTTACACATTTTGTCTCAGAATACTGAAGTGCAGCTAAATCACAGACAGAATATAGTCTGGTTCTTCATTTTCACACTGCCCTATAATGGAAATGTTGAAGAGGACTCAACTCCTTTAGAATTTTTATTGATGGAGAAGTGAATAGCTCAAGTCTCAGTTTCAAAGCACAGTTCTGACTAGACAGGTTATGACTGTGTATTTTAACATTCTAATCATGCAAGGCTTGTCAAGTTTCAGTACTGTATTTATCCATATAAATGAGTAATTGCAATTCTCTTGTATAATATCTAACTTCTGTAGTTGTCATATGTGGAAATGAAGTTTGGTGGGTTTTTTTCTTTAATTTTCACAAACTTTGTCATCTAGCTTAATTTTTGTTCTCTGTCATGATTTCATGTTTACTGAATGTTTAGATTATCTTTCTCTTGCTTTGGTAATCCTTCTCTTTTTTTGTTGGAGTTTAACATTTTCCCTGACTATCTATGTAGTCTTTTCCTGCAAAAATTGTTTCCAATTATTTCCAATGGTATTAAAGGAAAAGCTATTCAAATTATACATTTGGTATATCAATCAAATGACCTACCAAAACACTAGGTTTGGAAGGTCAACCTGTATTCCAGAAAGATGTGGGTTTTTTTTTTTTCCTACCTAGCAGGCAATACCAGGAATTTTTTACTCTGGATATTTTTCTAGTCGTATGGTTTCTGACTTCTGTAAAAGCTGCATGCAATTTTTAATATTTTTCCAAGAATGTTTTTTAATCTTTAGCATGAGGTGAACTTTTTGTCTCTTTTTGGCTCTTTTGGGTTTTGTTCAGTGGCTGTCTCCTCTATTCCATTTAGCTATGTCCTTCAAAATGTCTTCTGAAGTTTTAATAATGAACTTTTCATACTTACTGTATACTTTCTTCCATGTAAAATTTCTTATCTTGTCAGTGCTACACATCCTTCCTATTCAGTTCAATAATAAGAATTATTTTCTTATATCTGACAGAGTGTTGCTTTTCAATTTTTTTTCTCACAGCTCTTCTAGAATTGTCTGATATGTGAACTTATTTTCTGTACTATATAGCAACCTTTTTCAAAAATGTCTCTTCTGGCTTTAGATAAAAAAGAATCTCTTATAAGATTATTGTTGATCATTGTGTTTTACTGGCCAGTACAAGATTATGGGAAGAATCTCAATTTCTATTTTAAGTTATCTTGAGGTCACTACTTCAGGCTACACAAGCAGAATGAGTTTTATTAGAGAATTTTGGAAATGGAAATTTCCTTCTAGGATATAAATCAACATATTTTTTTTCCAATCTCTTATCTAGGTTTTATGGGTACTTTTTGGAGTTATGATTTCACAGCATTTTAGCTAAACTAGAAACAGAAATGTTCCTATATAAGATGGCATTTGACTGTGCTAGCTGATGAAATAGTGCAATTTATTTTTTTAAATGGCAGCAAATTTTTAAACAAAAATTAAATGTTTAATCTTTTTATGAATAAAACATTATCTTTCAATCTAGTATGTGATGGAAAAAGTAATATAAATTAATTAAAAAGTTTATTTTCAGTACTGTATTTTGGGTATTTCCTAGCCAGGAATTTCAAATACTTTTGTTTGTCTTCTCTCTTTCATTAGTGGTACATTTCAGAATGAGGTTTGCTATCAAATGCCAAAGAAAAGTTAATCTATTTTTCTGATTTGAATAATCAGTAAATAGTGCTTTTAATGCTTTAATGCATTAAAGCATTTTAATGCATTCCTGAGAGAAAACTATGAAATAAATGGAAACACAAATGTGTAACAATACTTTTCTGTTTCTGAGGAAACGAAATATAATTCCTTATCAGTTTCTACCTCTATTAAAGAGAGTAAACATCCCAATTAATGAAATACATGAAAATTTTAGCCCTATGCCTTGTGTAGAGAAAAACAACCTTCATGTAGATGAGATTATGAAATTTAGCACAACTAAGTCATTTCTATGATTTTTAAGAGATTCTACTTTGCTGAAAAAATAGCTGTTACTTTTTTGTTTTTGGAATGTTTGTGCAAAAATGCAAGTTAATATGTATGCTATTAAAGTAACTTGTATGCTATTAAAGCTACAAGGTGGATTTATTACTTCCTAAGGACTTCAGGCTTATGTAGGATATCTGTAGAAGGAACAGCTGTCCACTTTTATATACAGCAACACAAGAATTCCACTGCTCATGAAGATGTCTTTGGTCATGGAAAATGGTTAATATAATGGAGATGTTTCTGTGTAGGGGTTCAAGATGTTATGTTTATATGGATGGTGGTTCACAGTTCTGCCATGGAAAGCATTGCCATGTATTCTAGAAGAGACTATTTTTGTCTAGTAATAAAACGATGTAATACAGATATAATGAAATAAAGATCTGCAGGCTCACATGTTGCTAAGAGAACAGAAGTATTTCACACAGATATATAAAAGTGTATAAAATAAAATCAAAGAACTATTCATTAACCAATATCCATGCTGAAATCTAATTAAAGTGGGCTTAAGTGGCCTCATCTTCAGCATCCTTTTTGCCTTTATAATGTTCTTAAAGTAAATAAAATTTGATATAAAAACTACCACTAAACTTACATTTCTGTTAGAAACATCATACAAACTAAAATCAGCAAAAAAATATCCTTTGTGCTCAGATTAGCATTTTAATAGGAGAATATGCAGAAAGATACTTTATCAGACTTCGGAATGTGTTTGTTTATTGTCAGACAAGAACTCCCAGAATGGTGGTGTGTTTTCTTTAGAAACAAACAAGACAAAAAGTATTTTGATTTTAATCAAAAATGTATTTTCTCATAAAAAAAAATTCACATACTCACTGTGTCTACTCTACAGAATTTGTCCATTTCATTACATCATATGTCAATCCTAGTATATCTGTTCACTGCAAAAACTCGTGGCTATTTTTTGTAATACAGCACAGGAGGAGGTATTGCTCAGTTCCACTACTTTTATATCATAATTTAAAAAAAAAATACAGAAAATGTTCTTGGCTACTTCCACTGTATTCCAGACTTAAAAGTCTCATGAAAGTTCTAGAATATGAAGTTAATTTTATTTGGTTGGTAGAATACCCTTAGAAGCCAGTTAATTAAAATTCTTCTCTTATACTGAGTCATATATATTCCATTTGTTGGCAGCAACAAAGTCCAGGCATCTAGTTCCTAAGAGAAATATTCTTTTCTTGTTGCCTTTTTATTCAGCACAAATACAGTCATGTGCTTTTTATTTCAGAAGTTAGGTGATATACTGACATATTTATGACATATTTGTTGGTACACCTATTACAGTTGCTTTTACTTCCATTGCTGTGCTTTTTTCTTTGCCCATGTCCCAAAGAGTGATTAGAGGAGGATAAAACTCATTGAGTGAAAAGGATTGTTTCCTCAGGTAATTCCTTAGATAGCTGTGTCCAATGCCATAGTTCATATCTTGAGAGATGCAGCTGTAGAGATATATCACAGAGATGATTCCCAAAAGAGCGCCAAGGCAGGCAAGGAATCCTATTATGTTGTTCTTTTCATAGCCTTTCACTTCCAAGTCCAGTCCTTTTGTGGTTACATTGACACATTGTTTCCTATTCTGAGAATAGATAGTGGGAATGTCTATACAAATTTTGTATTCAGTTGATGGATTAAGATGTGTAAGATTATATACCTTTATATCAGATGGTATTCGAGCACTCTGTGCAGCCCGGGAGTCTTCAGCTTTCAGAAAGGCTGTCCATCTAACACTGGACTTCAGAATTTTAGAACTTGCTTTCCATGAAACTAAAACAGAATTAGATTTTATGTCTTTTATTTTAATATTTAAAGAGTCATTGTGTTCCTGAGGGAAAGAGCCGTCCACTTTAATCATGACTGACTTTAGGTCTGCCCCAACTAAATTTGTTGCTATACATGTGTATAAGCCACTTTCTCTTTGTGTTACATCACTTATGTCTAACGTTCCTTCAGAATGAATGTAGTACTTATCAGACACGGTGTTAGGCAAAAGTTTGTGTCCTGATGGTGTTATCCAGTAGATTTCAGGTTCTGGTTCTGCTGTCGCTCTGCAGTGCAAAGAAATATGGCTACCAGCTTTTAAATCCAGTGTAGATGGAAAACTTTCAGGAGCTATCAGGGGAAGACAGATTTCCATCATTTCCCGGAAGTGTATCTGTCTCACATTCTGACCTTGGAATTCAGGAGGGTCTACACAAAACAGGGACTCCGGCTCCATGAAACGAATGTTTGTTTTATTCATGTTAATCCAGCGGATGACACAATCACACCGAATGGGATTGCTGTGTATGCTGACTTCTTTGAGGTTAGGCAGGGACTCCACCGTACTGCGGTACAGGGCACTCAGCGCATTGCTGTTGAGCATGAGCGATTCCAGCTTGGGAAGTCTGTAGAATGCATTGGGGTGAATGTATGATAATCTGGGGTTATTGGTTGCTTCTATTTTTCTTAAATCTGGCAAATTATCAACAGCAAGACTATCTATAGAAATCAGTTCAGGCATGTTATTAATTCCTAACTCTTTTAGGTGCAGCATGTTGCTAAAATCTCCTCGTCGTATTCTGTTAATGGGATTCTTATTTAGATCCAGAAATTTAAGATTTGTAGCCTTTTGAAGAGCGATGTGGGGCACTCTAGCAAATCTGTTGTCATAAAAGGAAATGCTTTCTAAGTTGTCAAGGCCAGCCAAAGCATTATCTGGTATTTCAGTGAGATTTATACCTGCTAAAACTAGGCTGCGCAGATTGCTAAGAGGCTTGAAGTTCATGTCTTCAATTCTGATTATTGGGTTTTCTCCAATCATGAGAATTTCAAGATTAGGAGTAGCTTCAAACCACTTTCTGTTGATCACTTGCAGACCATTTGAATTGAGATGAAGTCTGAGAAGATTACTGAGGCCTATGAAAGCTCCTGGTGCAATCACAGAAAGCAGATTATGATTAATATAAAGCTCTTGTAAATTGCTGAGTCCAGAGAGACATTCTTCAGGGAGTTCAGTAAGTTTGTTTTCTTCAAGGTACACTGAAAGCAACTGTGGTATCTTTCTAAAAGTAATACTTGTCACTGAGGATAAATTGTTCTGAGATAAATCTAGACCAGTTAAATTCACTGGGAAGTCTACTGAGTGCTCAATTTTTGCAATATTATTAGTTTGTAGAAGTAGAACTTGTGTGTCAGCAGGCAATGTGGCTGGAAAGTTAAAAAGACCTAAATCATTACAGTCCACTGTTGGAGCTTCCAGGTAGACAGACCTGGGGGTGAACCATGGTCTGATTTCACATATACATGACTCCGGGCAGTCTGCTTTTCTTCCTACAGCTTGTAGTAGAGCAGTGGTAACTAGACCAAGCAGTAAATTAATTTTGAGTTGCAGGTCCTTCATCTTAGCTCAAATGTTCAGGAAAGTAACAGACCCTTTAGTATTCCACAATTGTGGTCCTGGAATTCAGTATGACCCGGTCAATTAATAAAGCACAATCTTGCATTTATCAAATGATGACCGTGAAGGACTTCCTTCCTGAGGATAAGTGATAAATCTGTAACCAACTTGTCCAGTAGTAAGAAGCATTTTGTGGAAATGAAGGTCACTTTGTCCTTGGTGACATAAAATTGATGAGCTTTGTGAAGATGAAGTATGTATAGATGGTCATAGGAGATTAAACAATTCATTTATTTAGTAGTATTAACTTCAAATCCCATGATTGATTAGTGTTTGCAGGAATGACAGAATGACCTAAAATACAAGAAGAGGAAATAATTAGTATAAGGAACTGTAAAGTTATAAATTAATTTAGCCATCTTTTGCTCTCTACTGTTAATTATTGCAAGTAAGAAAAGAAAATGACTGTGGTGTCTGGAGTATTATAGTGGTATCCAGATAGCATAAATTAAGTTAATATAGTAATATGTCTTTAGACTTTTAGCTTGTCATACATCCAGTGGAGCATTGTTCTACAGAAAGATGAAGATCCACAGAGTATAAAGCAAAATACATCAGTGAGATTTTTTCTTACATATTTTATCCTCCTTTAAAATATTTTCTTTTCTCATTCAGTTATCACTAGAAGCAGACTAATTTCTGTTGGCTTTGAAAATGTAAACACTGAGAAAAATCCTACAGAGCATGAATATTTAACTTTTTTACATAAAGTTTTTAACTATAAAAAAAGTAATTTATGTATAATCAAAGGGAAATAGAATGGTTGGATTAATAGACATTCCTAATGACATTCTTAGGCAAGTCTGTGAGATATTTATACAGAAATATATGAAATTGAAAATCCACAGGTTTTATATTTAATGCTTTTTGTAGCTGCTGTTTAGAAAGAAAACTTTTTTCTTTTAAGTTTTATTTAGAAAGAAATATGTACCTTATAATAAATAGCTTGTCATCTTGGAAAATTCAGGCTAATCACTGGCTTTTTTATTCTGGCTTCAATAACCTCAATTGCAAGGAATATTAGCAAAAAAGTGTCTTCACAGTGATAAAGAAAAAAAATTACTCTAGAAATTGCTTCTTTGCTCTGTAGTTCTGCAAAAATCTGAAATCTGTAGACTGCCTTCAAGTCTTGAATTATAGTAAAGACTGAAACATTGTGGCATCAATGCCACTTATGGCATCAAATGTGTGCTTCCCAGATTTTTGGTATGTACTTTCTTTTTGTGGAGTAAGATACATCTGAGTGTACATTTTGTTCCAATGCATGTAATACAAAAGTTTCTGTGTTTTCTTATATAAAGTAGCACACATTCACTGCTTAATTTACTTCAGAATAGACATTACACTTCACCCAGACTTTGTTTCTGAAGACTGTTGTGCAATATACATTTATGCCCCTTCTCCCCTTGCCTTCAAATGTGTTAAAATTCACATTGACACTTTACAAACCGTAAGATCAGTGATTAATTGACCTTGATAAATAACTTTGAAGGGGTTGCTGGTATAGATAGACAGAATTGCAAAAGTTCAGTGTCAAGCACTTGGATTTTAGGTGTCCTTCCCAGGCCCAGGAGGATTTGGTATAGTGACCATCTCTGCATTCTATAACAGTTCAGAGGAAAGGTGTTGGACTGTGTAAAGTAATATGAGCATTGGGACAATTTGAAGTACATTTGGCAAGTCTTTGAGGCTATTCTTTATGTTATGTCCATTTAAGGACATTTAATATTTTATTTTAACATGTAAGTTTATTAATAAAGTGAACAGACAATGTGTGAGATAAACATACGGAAAACATTCTGCTGTTTTGAGGATCAATAGTATGTTTTTATGCACATGGCCCAGTTTATACTAAAATACTAAGACATACTGATGGAAATAGTAAGAATATAATCTGTTCCTATGTTCTGGGAAATGAGATGAGCTTGAGGCTTGCTGAAAAATAAAGATTTGTGTTGAAAAGTTAATGCCTGCAACTTGCACTTAATTTTGCCACCAGGAGGCAAGGTGATACTCCTATGTAGGAATTCTGTCACATTTACCAAAAATCAGTAAAAATCATTCTATGCCAAATGCACGGATGCAATTTCCTGTATAAAGGGAAAAGAGGATGGCCATTTGGGGGAGAATTTTTTTGTAATGTTCTTGGTATATATTCTTGAAGCACATTTCGTACTGACTATTGTATTCTCAATTGGATTGTATATGAAAAATGTGTTTTTAGCATGACAAATACAAAATGTATGCTTCAAATAATTGAAAGATCATTGAAAATCTTACCTGAATTGTAAATTAATTGAGATTCAATAGACTGCTACTTCAGATATCTTATCACAGCCTTTTGATCCCACTATGGTGCTCAGGGACTTCTGCTCAGTAGAAGTACTTGTGAAAGCATTCTGGGGAAGCATAACAATATAGCTGACCTGCTTTTCTGTCCCTCCTTGGAAATTTGCTATTGGCTGCTGTGAAACATAAAATATGGATCAAGATGGAGTTTTCATGTGTGTCCCAGGCACCTGAGAGGCTGTACCATTTAAAGTACATAAACTACATTTTCATGCACTTTTGAGCCAACATACTCATGTATTTGTATTTATACTCCTGTTTTTATGGGATTCTCAAACCAAAAGTAAGGGCACCAGTGGATATTTCCATGCCATATATATCAGATAGGCTTTCTGCAAAAGCCAGAAGAAAAAAGAGCTGACATCCAGGTTGAAATTCTGCTTCGTTATGATTTAATCTGATGTCCTTTCTCTTTCTGGTGAATGCTTTAGCTAATAAGTCACCAGCTCAAGCTCATATGGTGTTCTAGCATAAATCTTTCTTATTTCTTCTGTTAAAGTCTTCTGTCTTGTGTAAAATATTCACTGAGGTTGAGTGGCCTGAATAACAGATTGTAGAATAGTTTTGACACTTCCAGCCTGCAGCCAGCATTCCAAAACACACTGTTTCAATTGAGAAATATATTTTGTTTAAATAATGGCATATCTATGTATTGTTTTATGTAAAAATTATTTGTTTTTAACTGTCATGCAAGGTGTGGAATAAAATAACGTTTCTGGAGTAGAATGGAAATTCATGGTGGCATATCATAGAATGGAGATCATACAATCATAGAATAGAATATTCTAAATCATATGACAGTAGTACTCTTCACACAACAGAGTACATAAAAAAGCGATACATTACAACAGCAAAAATTGTATGTAATTCTTTGAGCGGCAAAAATCACATTGGTCTTTTGTTTATAACAGTATTATAATGTGACTCCAATATACATCTTGACAAGAATATAAGAAAACATGAATTGCTGATGTAAGCTGTCCAGTCCTACTTGAAGTGATCAAAGCTCCGAATCAAGTTAAGCAGTACAACTGCTTAACTGGTTCCATTGATTATGTGAGCGTGTCTGTGTGTCTGTAGCTAATTTCCAACCTCCAGATATCTTCAAGTCATTTTGAAGTGAAAAGTGAGCTGTCATTCATTGTAATAAAATAAACCTCGTGTAAATTGTACTCAGCAGCATAAACTGTATCTGAAGTTCAGTTTCCTTGAAGAATATGGTGTCACAGAGATAAGCGTTTGTATTGGAAAAAAAAAGTGTTTAAGTTTGTGTTACTTTCAACTTCTAGAATGCATTGATTCCTTTTCTTCATTAATGTACTAGTAATAGTAAGTACTGAATGAAAATTGAACATAAATGCTCTTAATAGCAGTGATTTTCAGGGTTTTTTTAAGGTGTTCTGGTGCTTTAAAGATGAGTGCTTTGTACCATCTAGTTTGATGTGAAAATTTTGTATTTTGAATTTACAGTTTTAAAGGTACCAATATAAGAACACAGAGAACCTGAAAGTTATTTGTTCTGTTTCTTTGAGTAGTAGTTAAAGTAAATGAGGTTTAAATACAAAGGTTTCTGTGACAACAAACCATTTTCTTTCTTGTTTTAAAAAACAAATTCTTCCAGTAATAGAAGTATGTCAGCATTAACTCTTTGTTAGTGGATTTTAGTGACATCTCAAGATTATTAATGTGATATTCTAAGTGATTCTTAGAACTTGTACTGCTCCTAGAACTTTCTCACAGTAGAGAAGCTTGTACAGGTAAGGCTCCACAGCAGATTATCACCAGTAAGCTGAGGTGTGCGATAGATGTTTCCACACAAGCAGCAGGAAGAAGTGTGCATTGCAGCTTTGGAGTCTTTGATGTAAATCTTTACCCAGATGCGTTTATAAATCTTTGTGTGCACTCTCATTGTACTTGAATTTCCTCATGCAGATATAACTGTATGGTTTGCATCCTAATGTCTGCCAATAAAAAGCCTAAATATTTTATATCTATAAATTAGTATTCCTTATTAGTGCTTCAGGAGTTTTTTTTTTATTGTTTTCATGTACTAGAACTTAAGGACAAAAACTGTTTAAATCTTTGTGAATAGATTATTTGTTTTTCTCCTGAAGGTCCATCCCTATTGCTACCCATACTTGGTGTCTTACTAAACATGGTGTGTCTCTTGCTTTTTAGGTATTAATCTCTTGCTTTTAGAAGAATGTACTCTGATGTGTATGACTTTTTGCAACCGAATTATTTATTGTGCAAACAATGATTGTTATGTCTAAATTAGTTTTCTTAGATTTACTGCTATTGACAGCTGGAGACTTGATTTACAAGAGGGTATCACCATTTTTTGAGCTGGAAAAGACATTCAGTGAATGAATAAACTGAGCAACATTTCTCATCACTGGAGCAACAGACAGTTAAGAACCAAGTCAGAGTGGGCAGAAAGGAAAAGAAACACGTCAGGTTTTGGCAATCGTTCTTTTCCATTTCAGCAGTTAGAGACACAGTGATAAAAACTAAAAATGCAGCAGTTACACTGCAATGTGCCCTGCTGGCAATAAGGCAAACAGTGCACTTCACAAGGACCAATTTAGAGGTGGCAAGCATTTTGAAAACACAGCTGTTCATACAAAGCTACCTTTCAAACACATCAACTTGAAGAGCACTTCTCAATTCTTGTCATTATAATCACTTTGAGCAGTTCTATGGACAGAAATCTGGAAATGTCACTAACCAAAAATTAGGCATCAGACATTCCATAACTTACTTGACTTTGGTTACGGCACAGAGGGCTTTTTTTTGTTTTCTAGATGTTGGTTATGGAAATATACAGACTGAAATTCAAACATTTAATAGATTTCTGATAATTTTATATGGCATCTTTTCCTGTTTTGTTTCGTAGTCAAAACTAACAAAAAATTGCTTCCTTGGGGAATTTTTTATTACTCTATGATTAATAAAAAGATGAAACATCTTAGATATTTTACATATTTCATTAAAGTACAAAAAGTTAATATAATAGACATAATAGATTTTCATAACAAAACTGGTCTTGAAATAATATTTATAGAAGTAAGCTATAGTAGCTGATCTGAGAGGATTCCTGAAAATTATATAGGCACTGTATAAATGGGAAGCATTTCTGCTAGCCTATGCAGTCTTGCTTTCATTCCAGTCTCTGGAGCAAAGTGTTTCATTCTGTTTCTCTTTACAAATACAAATTAACAGTTCACTGTCTTATGCTCTTAATATTTTATATTCCTACATAGGAATATAAAATATTAAGATGTAGCTAAGATATAGCCTTGCGCTGAAAGAAAAATTATTTTCTAGAAATTTTGTGTTTCTGGGGTGTTCAGCTTGGGTGACTGAGAGAGTTAAATATCTTAGGTTGAAAATCTCAAAAGTGAATACCTGAAGTATTTGGACATTTGTGAAAAATTTGGGTAGGGCTCTCTGCTGGGACATTGACTAGTTTTGGAAATCGACTTTACTTTTTTTCTAATGATTACTTTTAGAACTTCAGGCTGGCCCTGAATAGCATTACATGCAAGATGTAAAAGAAATGGCAAAGCTGATATTTAACCCTAGTAGCAATTGGAACTATCTGAATAATTATTTCAGCATATGTATTTATATTTGTTTTTTGAACTTGTTACGCCTCCTTTTAATTTTTCTCCTTAAGTGGAATAAATTTGCCGGAGGAAAAGCCATAGTCTTGGAATGTTTAATATGCCTGTAAAACAGGACACATTCTCATACCTTAGACCATTTCAAGAATGACAAGGTTTTATAAATCATGACTTCTTTTTATAACAATGGACATTGTATGATTTGTAGATTAAAGTAACCTACAAATGCAGATAGAGTCAGAAAAACATTATGATCAGCTACATTTACATGAGATTTAACCTTTCTCACTAATTGAGTCTGGTTTACTATTCTACTGTTCCTATTTACCATCTCTTAATGGAGTTTAGCAGGTATCAGAAGAATTATCACCACATTAAGATCTTAGTATAGTTCTTATTGCTGTATCAATCAAAAATTACATTCCAGTGTTTTGAAAAGAATTGCAATATATTAAATCATACAGCTTAGAAATCACAGCATTCAAAGTAGATGTGATGAAATAAAAAAGTTAAATGGAATCCAAAGGAATATGTATATATATATATAATTTTATTGTATATGCTATTCTAGAATAACTTTTCAGTGGATATCAATGAACATTTAGTAAAACATTTTTTAAAAAATGGAGGATGGAAAATATTATGATGTTTACTAGCCTATTTTAAATGGAATTACCATCATTGACCATGACAACTTTGGGAGTACCTGTATTTGCAGTAAGATGTTTGTCAATCAGAACAAAAAAGCTTAATGGAAATACCATTTTTGTTACCACTATTAAAATGGTGTCAGCTGCATCATTGTTCATTGGAGCTAAAGCTGTGGATCAGGACATCACCTTTTGTGTTCACTTGCTGCTAAACAAAACCATGGTCTTTACTCCGTGGAGTTTAAAAATTAAAGGCAAGGAAAGGGACAACTGATGATTCAGACAGATAAGAGAAAAAAGTCATTGTGGCAATCTCTGAATTTCCTTGGATTTATTCTCCTTTAGCTGTAGTCTAGTAGTTTACTATCATGATCCTGCATTACTATTCTAGTCTAATTTTAGATTTTCTTTCTACTGTTCTGTCTTTCATGTGCTTTTAACTTTAAATCATACACTGCCTAGCCGTTGAATACATCTCTCCTTTTCACAAATGTCACAGCAAAAGATGACAAAAAGTTATTTTGATACCACAAATTAATTAATCATTTCAGCAATTACAGTTACCACCTATTTTTTTACTTCTCTTAATATAAAGTACACAATTTTTAAAATTTTTTTTTTTAGTGAACAGAGATTTTAGAAAATTGCATTTATATGACAAGAGAATGAATTTCAGTGGAAGCCACACATTTCTTTATCATTTGAATTTTAACTTGTCATTTATGTTCTAATTTTAATACAGCTTTCCAAATCCTCTTGCAATATATTCAGTGTGTGTCCATTAAACTATGTATAATTTTATGTACTTGGATGAGGAAAAATAAACTTAAAAAAGAATCT